AACTTGCATATGTCAGCAATGTCAAATTTTGCCTCCCAGAGCACCAACAGGAGGTAAATATCAGAGTTCTGTAGAGATGTTTGTTGCAAACACAACATTGCCCCTTTATCTCCTTTGCACAGGAGCAAAGAAGTTGGCTCATTAAAAGAAAATCAACATAATTTTTGATTCACCTCATTTGTTGCTTTTACTGCCCATCAGGTTAAGACTAAATTCCCTTCTGCTAAAGTTTAACCAATATATTTGTATATGATTTTCAAACTGTTTTCTGTAAACTAGAGCCCATATTTTTCTCTTTTTAGTTGTCTTCTTCATTTTCTGCTGAATAAAGAGGGTTGTGCAGAATACATTCACCAAGTCTCCAAAGTAGATACAGAAAAATGACAGAACGTCAAGGCATACTGGCAGTCACAAATCGCTCTAGCTTAACAGTAGAATCTGAACACTTGGGTTCAAGAATCATGTTCTGAATCAGCTGAAATCCCATGAGTCTCAGATGTTTCTGCGGCAGTCCTGGACCATATGTGAAAGGAATAAATTTCCATAATTCATCTGTATGGTATAGTAAGGAGTGAAATGTTGAAGAACCAATTTAAATCTACACTTATTTTCAAATAATATTAAAATTACCATCTGCATCCTTTTATATAGTGGTGGTACTAGACATAAGCATACTCAGCAATTGCTTAGAGTCTGATTTAGCATCACCCCAAGTACTGGTCTTATTATTTAACATTCATTTTTTAAACAAGCCAATTAATGTGTGTGGTGTTGAGAAATTTGTTGATCTGTGGAGGTAACGTATTTTTAAGGAGTAGATGAAAGGTATGGGAGACCCCAAAATATTCTTGCTCAGGGCCTCTTACATTCTATAGCCAATGTAAGAAGCTGATTAGCACTTCATAGTTCTGGAGAACTGTCATTTTATAACAGTTCACTATCTGCATGTAACCTGATTTTGAAAAGGAGTGTGATATAGAGTCAACTTGACAATGGTATGTGTTAGAAATTTTAAGAAGTATGGGTTTCTCTGTATCTAGCTCTACCTGCTACAAGTTTGCAGGTTATGTTTTGTTAGTCTATAAAGTGCTACCAGACCATTTGTTGTTTTTTTATGTTTATCCTGCACAGACTAACTCAGCTACCTCCTGAAGCTTCTGTAGTATTTTAGTTATCTACGACCCCATTCATCATCTGAAAAAGGGAACAGTTTGGAAATTGTCAATTATTTGTAATTGAAGGTAATTTCTGTGCCTCATATGCATACTGGTGATTATGAAGTGAAAATTATTCTGACAGGCATATGCACAGATAGACTAGTTCTCTTCATGAAAGTTCTATTCATGGTGAAAGCAATTAAAACTGGTGTGGATTTCTCTAGCAAGCTGAAGCCTCATTTCATGCTTGAACTAGTGATCACCAATTATTCTGTGCTTGTTCATCATTTTAATTAACATAAAGGCCTTAGGGTTTTTTTCAAGTTGTAATAGATATACCTAATAGTTCAAAATTTGCTTGAGTCTCCATGCCTCTTAGAGATGAGGTACTAATTAAACTAAATCTTCCAATTCTTATTGGATGATCTCTTCTAGTAGAATACACGTATTTCATAGTCATCTTGATAAACTTTCAATTAAAGCATAAGAACCTCAAAATGTCATTGTATAGACTTGTTCCAAGTTTTCTTATTTTTGTGCTTTATAGCATATTGACACAAACATAAATATTATTGGGGAACTCCAGCTTCAGCAGAAAATTATAACTTGAAAATTAACAATAGTTTTGTGCAGTTGGCTGTTGCCAAACTTATGAATGATGGGGGTACAAAGTTAGGCTATATTCCTATGCTCTCAATCAATCCTTGTCATAAGTGCCCCTCGGATTTATTTAGAATGGATTAACTCTAAAGATAAACATAGACTTCCTCCCTGCTCACATGCTGTTCTACATCTGCTTTTCCCCTGGTACACTCCCACTCACAGCCTCATTTTTATTGCTCCTTTGTCTCCTAGGTGCAACTGTCTCTCTCCCTTGGACATACTTTCTAGCAGCTGTGTTCTCTCCCACACAGAATGTATCTCTTGATACTATGAAAGAGCAAGCCAACTATGTTAGGCATAAATGCACCTATACTGAAAATTAAAAGCCATTTTCTATTTTTTAAAGCATTTTTAATGTTTCCAATTTAGTTTATATCTAAATAAAAAGTTTATACTTTAAACCAGAGCAACCAATGGAAAGTAGTCTCAATAGTTTTAAATAAATAATGCACTTAATGCATATATACATGTATAAATCTATTATATATTTTGAAGAGTTTGGTTTTTTGTGGATTTGTTTGTGCAAAATGAAGTCATACTTCCCAAATAGATACAGAGGCCAAATTTAGAATAAACAATCCTGCCGCTTAAATTAGCTGAATGCACTACTTTTTACACCAGAATATGCTGGGTGAAAGGTTTCAATAATTTTTTTTGGTTTTCATCAGAAAAAAGTCATGACTATTATGATTAGAGATCATAAAAATATTTGCTAACAAAATTAAAAATGAGTCACCTATTCAACTGTCATTTTAGCACAAAGAAAAATTTTACTATTACAAATCACAAAATAACTTGAATTAGTTACAGAAAGAGTAATGGAAGCTTTATGAGTTTCTGATTCAAATTTACTTGTATGGTAATTATTCAATAAAATGAATAATGTCTGAAGTTGAAATACTACAAATTTAAAACTATTCTTTTACTTCCCTTTTGCAAGCACATTAATAAAAAATTATATTACATATATTTAATTTCTTGAACTTTCCTATACATGTAATCAACGCAAAATTATTTTGCTCAGTCAACGAACGGCCTTTCATATAAACTTAGAGATAACTAACAAACATGCTGTTTTGACAGGCTGTAATTCACAGTTAATATGTCACTTATTAACCACATTGGGCAGACTTTGTGAAGTTAGTACATCACAGAAGTTATTTATAATTTAATTAAAATCTTTGAACTGTTTAGGTATAGCCCTAGTGCATAAATTATTTACACACACACATTTCATATACATGCTCCTTTTTTATTTTACACTTTATGAGTTTGATCCAAAGCTCACTGACTTAGGGTTTCCAGGTGTCTGGTATTGACCTGGACAGTCTGATATTTCCGCCTTCCGTCCAGTAAAAAAATTCAGAAAATACCGGACACCTAAAATGTCCGGTATTTTCTGATTTTTTTCCCTGCCAGGAGGCGAATACCAGACACCTGACAACTCTACGACACACTCAGCAAGCAACCCGCCCCCCACCTGGTTCCGCAGGGACATGTCTTGTGGCTGGAAAGAAAAACAAAATGGCCGCCAGCAAAAAAAGCCTCTTCTTAAAGGGGCCATGCTGATTTTTTATTTATTTTATTTACTTAACTGCTGTCGAGGTCCTTTTTTTTTTTTTTTGCTCAACAACTTTGGTCTCCCCCCCCTTTCCTCCCCCCCAACAGAATTTTTTTCCTGGTTTTTTTTTGGGGGGGGGCAGAGGGGATGTTTTTTTTTCCTGTTTTTTTGGGGGGGGGGGCAGGGGGGATGTTGGGTATTTTTGCCTAAACTATCTGGCAACCCTACTGACTTCAAAAATCACATTTCTTCAATTTGACATGGAGTTTGGTTGTTTTAGTCCTGTTCCCAGTGGACAAGTACCCACATTACAAAATCCACCACTACCACTTGCCCCACTTGGAAGTCTCAGCACAAAGGACAATCATTGAACAAGCATGAAGGCCAAGCTACTTTGGTCTTAGGAACAATTCCTTACAGATCATGGTTAAAACACATGGGATAGAAACTTGAACTATCATTACTTTGGCTATAATATGCCTATTCTGTGAATAAATGGAAGCCTTCAGCCACCAGGATTTTTGACCTTTCACCAGTACAACAGGCACACAGAAAAATAGAGGATCTGCTGTCTAAGCATTAAGGAGCAAAGTGAGCTACCATTCTAAAAAGTTAAAAAAACAGAATGTGCATGCTGTCAGAAAAGGCGATATTATACTAAAGGGGAGTACATTTACTCTTTGTAAAACTTTTTGTGCCCAATATGCAGGCCTGAGTTTTTCCTTTGCTCATCCATCCACAAGCAAGGCAAATGTTGTATAGACTTTCACAACCCCAAGATGGTGAGTAAACATTTTAGAACAATACAGACAAGTAAGACTTAAAAGGTTTTCATCTGCTTTTGCATACAGTATAATCACATCATACATTCCAAATGCTCATGTCCTAGGACAATCCTACAGTCCACTTGCAGCTAGGAAAATGGCTTCTGAGCATAATGTTGTCTGGACAGCAGTCACCTGGGCTGTGTCCAGACTCAGGGTTTTTTTCGAAAAAAGTAGCCTTTTTTCGAAAAAAACTTCACCTGCGTCTAGACTGCAGCCGCGTTCTTTCGAAATTAAATCGAAAGAATGCGGCTTTTCTTTCGACGGCGGTAAACTTAATTCCACAAGGAAGAACGCCTTTTTTCAAAAGTGCTCTTTCGAAAAAAGGCGATCTTGAAATCAAACAGGGCTTTTTAAAAAGAGAGCATCCAGACTCACTTGCTGCTTTCTTTCGAAAAAGCGGCTTGCTTTTTCGAAAGTTCCGTGTGCAGTCTAGACGCTCTCTTTCGAAAGAGGCTTGCAGTCTAGACATAGCCCTGAAGGTGTGAAGATGGAAGCTGTCTGTTTCTTAACCCAGCCCCTCATTTGGAAGCACTGTTCACCGCTCCTGGATACTCCCAGCTCCCACAGGCTCAAGAAACATAAAATCCTTGTGTTTTTACACTGCAGTCCCATATTCAGCATCTATCTTTCTTTCTCTGATAGATTTTTAACTCCTTAGCAACCCTGATTAATTTTTATTGCAATTTCTCTGTAATAAGTTAGCCAAAGGAGAAATAAATGAAACCTTGCCCTGTTGCCATGAGGTTTCAAATAGAAAGCGGATTAACTTGCCATACAGTTTCAAACTCTTACCATGCTCCACAGGTTCAGACATACAGAGCCTGCCTGGTGTCTCATTTTCAGTTGGTTCTTTATGTCCTATGGATATGTAGTCCATTGCAGTGACTGGCTGAGATTGAATCAGATGTTTTGAAGTCTGCTCATCAGATTCCTTATTTGAAGCAAGATTAATACATATAAACAGTTAGAAACCCCAGCATGACCACAGTATAACAGATACCCTGATCTATACATCTGCTGGATATGTTTTAAGGCAACTTTTTAATCATTTTTAAAAAACTGATCACTAGCTATTGTTATTTCTTGAAAACAGATTAAACATCACTAATTCACCAGAAACAGTATCAAACAGAAATTTATTGGCATGGCAGAGAGAAGCTATTAAGCACTAAACAAGTTCATAGCCATAATTCTAGAATGTGTGGATTGACGTTTTCAAATGATCTTTGCGGCATCTGTGATGAGCTGCAGAGCGGGTGCTAAACTGACCTATTTTCTCTTGCTGATAGCTTTAGGCCAAATAAAAGCTTGCATGGGGAGACACTCTGAGACGTCCTTCTTACTAAAGGCTGGATGGAAAGTTCAAAGTAATCTTCTTAGCTAAATAAATAAAAAGATGCAGTAGCCCTACCAAAGTATGGTATGTTGGAGATTACAGTCTTAACACTACCTTGAAAATGAATTTATTTTGAACTATGACTTTGTGCGGGAGGTAGGGAGAGGGGAGCAGATTGCCTTTAAAATTTCGGTGCATATGTTTGGTTTTAAGAATTATTTTAAGAAAAGAAAATGATGCCATGGGACTGATAAAGACATCGGTTGACGTGTACGTAAGTTACTGAAGGAATTTTTTCTCAATACAGAACCAAATGAGTTTTCTAGATTTCAATACACAACTGAACACCACACTTGCAGGCAGGATTTGGCCCACAGTACTATACAAGTGTCAGAAACTGAAGTGTTTTGTAGTTTGAATGTGTGTTTAAAACATCCTAAGGGTGAGTTCACACTTACATGAAGCACATCTATACTCAATTGTTGAAAATTACGGGACCTCAGTTCTTGCATTCTTTTGAGGTTTTCTTGATATTTTTCTTCTGCTAGCTCTCTATAAATAAAAGGTACATTTATTCAATATTATGTATCACAAATACAATGAAGACACGTCTGCAATAAGGTACTACTGCTTGTTACAAATAAATAAATGGAAAAGTACGTTATATCATAGGAGAGCATGCTCAGGGGTGCACAGTGGGCCAATATTTATCCAAAAGGTCTTGGGTGGATATATATAGGATGAGACTTGAATTATTAATTACAGAATTCATAAAATTTACTTTGCCCATTTTGTATAAAATAGTCATGAGGCACCAGATTGTTGGTTCCATACATGGTGCTGGTCAACTCAGAAGAACTTAAATATTTTGCTTTGATTCCACCAAGTTCTTCAGAGAAGTTTTCATGCCAAGAAAAGAGAGGCAGAGTTTTCATATTCTGTGGCAGATATTGCCCAGAGGAGACTATACTATGCATATGCTATCTCAGCAAATCTTGTAGGCTTCATGGCTATGCTCACTTCTCACTCAATTTTGGAGGTGCAATAGCAGTCTGAAGGTAGCCCATTTGAAATGGAACTGTATCTTTGTAGTCCTTCTGCTTAATGTCACTGATTCCTTTGTATTATAACAGAGTATGCTCAGCTAGCCAGTGTGGAACCTAGGCCAGCATTTTAACTTCATGATTATGAATGGGTTTTGAAGAGGATTATCTTCTTTATGCTACAGAAGAGATACATTTATTTTATCTGCTCAAACATGAATTAGAAAACTGCCACTCTATACTATTTCCTAATCCCATTCTACAAAATACTCAAAATTCTGTAATCTATTTTTTATGATTTTTCTCATATATTTGCAAATTGGCCTCTCATTATTAACAATATGATCAAAGACTTTAAGCAACATCCACAAGTCATAATAGAGATGGTGAAATTCCAATTGTGGTTAGACACTGACTGAGCCCAGGAAGAACAATTTCTATTGGTAAGAGAATCAATGTCCATGTAACATAATCAACATCATCATTTCCAAACCCAGTTGTCATTTTAACCACTCCTTTGCACTAATTTTGATAAATGTCAAATAGACACAACAAATGCTGATTCAGAATTTTTACAAATTGGGACTTCAATCATCAACTATTTTACTTGTTAGCAGTCTTTGTTGTAATTGGATGTCATTACTAATGAAGACACATGCTTGCTTTGTCATGACAAGACTAAAGTGCTGATCCCAATAGTCATAAACAATAAACCATTCCAGCGTACATTTATATAAATAACAAAATAAGCATTAGTTAATCTAGACTGAACTTAGAGAGACTATTTTGGTGAAAGTATTAACATGAATTCAAGAAGGTGGTGAATCTATGATTTTTTTTCATGTTTCTCTCATGAAGAATATGGACTCTCTTCAAAGATTCTCTATTATGACCCCTTATGGTCCCAGGAAATACTTTCTAAGTAGAATTTTTATACCATGTTCATCACCATTGAATCTTCTCACTTATTAAGCCCATTGCCAAATAGCATTTGTTTTAGAACTATAAAGTTTCTGCCCTTCTACAGAAATCACAGAGGTCAAAATAACTGACACTTTCCTCAAAACCTGGACTGTCAGTCAAAGACAGGTGGCTGGGCTCCTTAGAGTAATGGCCTCAATGAGTCACTTTAAAAAATTCATCTTCTATATATATGAATTCAAAGATTTCTTACTCATTTATTTAGTAAGAAATGCAGTGTCTGTAGTGCAATTTTAAACTAATGCTCTGACTTTCCCCTGCTACTTCAGCAATTACTCTTATCTAATTACTGTAAAATCCCCATTCACCCATCAGTAACTGAAGAGTCTGCATAGTGTCTGAGTCACTTTAAAAAATTCATCTTCTATATATATGAATTCAAAGATTTCTTACTCATTTATTTAGTAAGAAATGCAGTGTCTGTAGTGCAATTTTAAACTAATGCTCTGACTTTCCCCTGCTACTTCAGCAATTACTCTTATCTAATTACTGTAAAATCCCCATTCACCCATCAGTAACTGAAGAGTCTGCATAGTGTCTCTAAATCAACTGTTTTCATTCTTGCTTTCCTGGTAAATTGCAGTTATCTTACTTAAGTTTCTTTGCTTTGTCATCTGCAGCATTTAACTTTCGCAGCCTCATTCTCTCTCGTGGAGTCATTTTCTGCACCTCAGAAAGTTCCCTCAGAGTTTGCAAATGGACTTTTTTCTGCCTAAAAATAAAAGCATGCAAGCCTCTATTTATATTAAAATGTAAAGAGCAATATTTAAAAAGATATCATTATGAGGCTGAAAGATTATGGCATTTTGAGTGTAATGAGAAAAACACAGGCAATGTAATGGACTAAACAGAGGTTTCTTTACTTATAGGGGTACTATATCAAATTTATTTTCATTATGAGAGTATAAAAAATGCAGACCTATACATTCAGTACATTTTGCCTGAACCGTTTAAAGTATTTTATAAGATGACTAAACATAAGAATGGCCATACTGGGTCACACCAAAGGTCCATCTAGCCCAGTATCCTGTCTTCCAACAGTGGCCAATGCCAGGTACCCCAGAGGGAGTGAACAGAACAAGGAATCATCAAGTAATCCCTCTCTTGTCACTTATTCCCAGCCTCTGACAGAGGCTAGGGACACCATTACTACCCATCCTGGCTGATAGCCATTGATGGACCTAAACTCCATGAATTTATCTATTTCTTTCTTGAACCCTATTAAAGTCCCGGTATTTACAGCGTCCTCTGGCAAGGAGTTACACAGGTGGGCCGTGCACTATGTGAAAAAAAAACTTCCTTTTGTTTGTTTTAAGCCTACTACCTATAAATTTAATTTGGTAATCCCTAGTTCTTATTTTATGGGAACAAGTTAATTTCCCTTATTCATTTTTTCCACACCAATCATTTAATTCTCAGTACTTTATTAATATAATAATAAATGTGAAATCATCCCTGCAAAAGTTATAGTATCCTGTATCATTTAAGATAACGCAAGCAGAAATTCTGCCTCTCAGTTTAAAATTAAAGCAACTGATAACACTAAGAAGAATGTTTAATAATCAATTTTAAACAAGTATAAAAGAAGAAAATGTTAATGCTCCTTTAATGAGCTTTTAAAATAGTCATTTACTTCCTCGTAAATACTGTCTGCTGTTATTCATTTCCTGGTCCGACAGAACAGAGGTGTTTTTTCTTGGCTCAAATGATTTTCATAGATCTCCCCAGAAAGCTAAGCATGAATAACTAATTCACCTATTCCAAAGCTCAACTATATCCATAAACAAGAGACCAACACATTTCCTATATTTGAAAATAAAAGTTGTACAAATGAACAGTTGTTTTAATATTAATATTAATATTAATATTATTAATAATAATGCAATTGCAGTCATACATTATAACTTCCCATGTAACCCAAAAGTTTAGATCATTGGAATTTCTGGTGCATAGTATTCATTTCAAATTGTTACTCTTATTCTTAAAATTCAAGATTTAGCTACTAAATCTTCATCTACTCTGATGTGTGATCATCAAAGAATCATAAAATATTAGGACTGGAAAGGACCTCGAGAGGTCATCGAGTCCAGTCCCCTGCCCTCATGGCAAGAGCTTAATTTTATATCCCAATAAATCACATAGTTCCACAGGGACTACTTGGAACATCATAATGTTTAAAATGCAAGGAGACATATTTTCACCATATTTCTCAAACGTTATCTATGGAGGAAAATATTAGAAGGATCTGAGTGGTACTGGGAAACGTGATACTGAAGACAAAGACAAGAAAATTTCAGCTATTAAGCAATTTGGAACAAATCCTTCAAGAATGAATAATTCAGGCATATTTCTTATGCACTGTAACAGAGCTGGGATTTATACTACAAAAACCTCTGGGATAACAAAGCCATTTTTCTTTCATGTTGAAACTGAATTTGTAGAGCTTTATGCTTGCTTAAATATTTAAAATTTATAACTTGGGTAGAACTTCAGTAAACTATTACAGACTTTTATTAGAAAACATAAAGCTAACCTGAGTTTGATACATAAAGATTTAATGGAAAGAAAAAAATATAGACGAATGACAAAATGGTTGGGAAGAATGTACAAGAAATAACTCTATCTAGGGACTTCTATAACTGAAATACAGCTTTAAGTTTATAGCAATTTATGAATACCAAGACTTCACATTTAAACTGTTGCCCTTTGACTTTTTGAATGATAATACTTTCCTAATATTTAGAGTTTATTTTTATCTGTCACTTTGGCATGTTGCTTAACAACGACAATAGAAAGTTTTAATGATCTCAACAGAATTTTATTTAAAACCTTTACATTTTATTGTGATTAGATTAATACATATTATTTTCATATTCTGAAGACTAAATCCAATTTACTCAGAATACAGAGTATATCTGGGAGGGTTTATAAGAGTTTTTTTTTTTAAACAAAGAACAGTTGCCTTTAATTTGAGAAGCTTTAAGAGTAAATTTTTATGCTCTGCCAAAATTAGATGATTGTATTTAATGGGAATTTTTCATATGGAACACAGATAAATGAAAGGAAAAAATCTTCAAAATTCTTGAAATGGGCATTTTAAAAGCTGTATAGCACAAGGACACATAGAAAAGGAACGGATGTTTCTAGGAAAGTTCATCAAAAAATAAATAGCCGTCACAGAATTCAAGAACTTCTCTATGGACTCATGCAAAGAGCTTGTTAGCACTTAGAACCTGTTGATTGTGTTGGGGAAGACCACAAGCCCATTAGTGCTGAATGTATGTGAGGAACTGCTGATCATAGAATAAACACACTTTCTCTCTCTGACAATTCTGTCCATACACAATGTCAATTTGAAAAGTGATTTGTTTCAATATAGACTTATTGTATCCAAAGACCTTTGGAGCTTACTGCATTCCTTCCACAAGAGAGTATAAATAAGTGTTATCAGTCGATCTTGGAAACAAATGGAAATTTGGAGGTTGATTTTCCATTTTTCAGCTGTAATATTGCTCCCATAAAAAGCTGTACCCACAATTTTTGGCCCCAAATAAATAACCAAGAAAAGTGTGATTTAAGTTTAAAATGGTGCATGTAGTTCAATGGAGGTGAAAAATGTTACCCACAAAATGAAAGCCAGGACTGGAAATTACATCCCTGATATTTCAAATATTTGATGCTTCAGAGTGTATTTCCGCTATCACATTTCAAACACTTTTTTGGAAATTGAAACCTTGCCTGCATATTATGCCAATGACATTTAGGAGCACAACTCTCCACTACCAAAAAACCATATCTCCTCTGCGGAGCTATGAATTCACTCTTACATGGGTCCCATGACCAATCTGAGGAATAAATGTGAAGCACACAGGATCTACCTGTAATATTTTATGAATATTAATGTGCATTTATTTGTCTGATTTGTTATTATGTTGATTGTTATATGATTACAATGGATAATAATAATCTGTATTTCTGCATTGTCCATTATGTAAGGATCTCAGAGAAATTTATAAACCGCTAATTAAGCCTCATAACAAACTAGACAAGGAATTATCCAACAGTAAATTGCTGCCATCTTTGTAGAGGAACACAAAGTTTAACAGTGTAAAGAAGTAGCACACAAAGTATAGGGACAGGAAGTGAAATAGAATACCAGATATAATGCAAGAGTAATTTAAGACGGCAGAAAGAACTCAACATTGAAATTTGTGTTAATCATTGAAGTATTATGATTTGATACTCTTTAACATCTTTATTATTATAGAATTATCTCAGATAGGTAACATCGAATGCATATTAGTGTAAGATTCAATAAATATGAGTACTATTAATTTCTTTATATAGTTAAAAGATATTCTACAGGTCTATATACTGACTATTAGTTTAAATGTTTATGTCTTCAACTTTAAAGCATTTATGAAAAAAAAACCTTTATATTCCTGAAGTCATGAATTACATAATGCATAAATGAATCATAGCACATGTCATATTATGACCTCATCTTTCCAAAGGTACAGATCTGAGGATCACATGTCAAAAATATGCATTATCTTGTATTTGTGAGCAGGAATAATTTAATTACACATGCAACAGGTACTATACTTTCATGTACACATATCCTTTGTGCATGCACAATAAACCAATGTGCATGTGCTATTACGTGCTAATATATTCTTATTTGTAATAATAAGAATGCTTAGTTTTTCTAGGGTGGTTTTCACTGTAGATCTCAAAGAACTTTAAAAACAAAGGTCAAAGCACTTTAAAAAGATGCTAAATATGCATGTGCATATTTAGCACAGATCCCTTTCAACATTTGATTTAAATAAATGTTTAAAACATGAATGCATTTAGCAACACTTCCCTTTGTAATACTTTTTATTAATACAAACACTGCAGTACTTACACAGCTTTAATGATGCAAGCAGCTTCTTTCTGACAATTAAATGTCTTGACTTTCATAGCCATATTTGTGAATTTGCATTTGACATTCTTCTAAAAAATAAAACAGCAGCAAAATAAATTATATTAATGCAGTATCCCACATCTTCATCTATGATCCAATATTTGGTTCAGTCCCAATATAAAATACTCGAACAACTTTTCTGTCCCTCTTCCCATAAAGCCTAGCACTAATATATGCTTTAGCAAGACCACAAATCAGAAAAGTAAGAAGTTTTCTAGAATGTGTTGTTTTTCATTAAATATTTGAGTAACTTTTGGCCATTGGCCAAGACCAGAAATGCCTCATAAACCCTTATGCCTATCCAGCCCCAGTAATCTCAGAAGTCTGCAATATAGCGAATACGCTATTACTTGTAAAATTGCATATTTGAGCAGATTCTCACGTGTTCCTTTTCTAGAGGGAGTGGTGACAACAGCTTTGTTTTCCCTCTACCATTTGTAAAGAAACTTGCATGGACTCCTCGCTGACATTTCTTTTCAATAAATGGTCAACATTAATGCATTTTTTGTAATACACACACACACGCACACGATAAGTACAGGCCTATTGCCTTCTCATTTTAAATACCTGTAGTTGTTCATCAATGTAGGAGATTTTTAGAATCTCTGCTGCAGATGGTCTCAGACAAGGATTCTTGTTCAGCATGCTGAAATATTAATGGAAGAAAGATAAAGCAATTTTTGAAAATAATTGGACATATCTGAGAAGCCAGAAAATGTCAAACCTGTGGAAGACTGTGTTCAGTTTACTTGGATATCTATCAGGAAGAGAAGGTGTGTTGCCTTCCACAATTTTTAGCACAATAGACAAAAAATTGTGTCCAGTAAATGCATGATCCATACAGCACATTTCATACAAAATGCATCCCAGTGACCTAGAAAAAAAAATAAAGTGATGTAAGAAATTTACAAATACATATTTTGAAATGGCCTACCTAGTGACAGTATAGTAACTATAATAACAGCTTCAGGAGGTAGCCGAGTTAGTCTGTTACAGAAAAAAACAACAAATGGTCTGGTAACACTTGTTTTGTTGGTCTATAAAGTGCTACCAGACCATTTGTTGTTTTTTTCTATAACAACAGCATTGGTAAAGAGCTGAATTCTGTGTCCCTTTCTCTTTATAGTAGGACACTTTGATGTCACATTTTTCTCTTCTTCTGAAATGGTCTTCATTCAGAGCATAGAATCATCTCCTTCTGCTTAGCATTTGTAAAGCCTATAGCCATTATCATTTCATTTTCACAGACATAGGCAGGAAAGTTAAACCACATAAAAAGATTACTATAATAGAGTTCCGATTATCTGACCTAAACGGGACCGATGGGTGGTCGGATTAATGAAAATGTTGGATAATACGGAAACGGATATGAAATCAGGTTTATTAATAATTATTCTACAGTACAACTAACATAATAGAGTACAGAACATTTAGTATGCAGTATGGCCAAAGTTATTGTTTTAAAAAATTAGTGGTTGAAGTTTGTTTTCCAGCTTTGTTTCTCTTCCTTGCGGCGAGGTCACGCCAGTGTCTCAATAACATAACATCACTACCAGTTGCCTCCCCTTGTTGTTGCATAACATCACTACCAGTTGCCTCCCCTGTTGTTGAACATAAGCCAGTGCCGCTTCAAGAGCCTTGACCCCTTCACTGTGACTCATTCTCTCCATTTTGTCATTGTCATTTGTATCTTCATCTTCATCCTGATTCACCAGAGCTATTATGAAGTGGTCAGTCAGTTCTTGTTGCTCATCTTTCTCCATCCATTCCTGTATATCATCATCATTCACTTTCTCACAGCCTGGAATTTGTTGCAACAAAGGTAGCAGGTTATCACAATTTTCTTGCATCATTTCTTGTATATTTTCGTCTTCCGAAAGTAGCTTTCTCCATGATCTTGCCAGAGTTTGCGGTTCAATATTTTCCCATGATTGTGCAATCCAATAAATAAAATCTTTTATCTTATCTGGCATACCACTTCTATCGTCTATTGCCTCAATGAGCGTAGTTAAAAGCTTACAACGATATTTTTTCTTTAATGCTTCAAGCACACCCTGGTCCAGAGGCTGACACAATGAAGTGATATTAGGAGGAAGAAAAATTACTCTAAAGTCCCCACTGATCAGTTCATCCTCATGAGGATGAGATGGCACATTATCAGTGACAAGGATTGCTTTCCTTGGTAGGTTTAGCGGTTTCAAAAACTTTCCTTGGTAGGTTTAGCGATTTCAAAGACTGTTCTACTGAAGGAACAAATTAATTGAAAAACCAGTCTTGGAAAATAGCTGATTTTCCATGCATTCCTCTTATTCTTGTACGAAAATGGTAGAGAAAAATAGCTGATTTTCCATGCATTCCTCTGATTCTTGTATGAAAATGGTAGAGAAACCATGGCTAGGTTTTTGAAAGCTTGTGGTTTTTTCGCCTTTCCAATAAATGTGAGTCTTAGTTTGTAGTTACCAGTAGCATTACTACAGGCTAGAATCATCACTCTTTCTTTATGTTGTTTATACCCAGGAGCTGAAGCTTCTGCCCGGGAAGCTAGAGTTTTTGAAGGCAGCAATTTATAGTTTAAGCCTGTCTCATCGCAGTTATATATCTGCTCACCTGATAATCCTTCATTGTCGATAAGACAATGAAATTTACCTTTAAATTTCAGAAACCCTTCCTGATTTGCCGATAATTTTTCACCACATATACTGAGCTGCCTTAACCCATATCTTTTTTTCCAGCGATGAAGCCAGTCTACACAGGCCGTGAAATCAGGTTCCCTTCATTAAATTCCTTTTGGAAAATCAGAGCTTTCTCTTGCAGAATCGGGCCTGTGATAGGCATGCCCCATCCCTTTGCTGTGTGAACCATAAGAACAAAGCTTCGCTCACTTTTTCATATTCTCATTTCTTCATCGTTTTTCTGTTCTTCAGTCCTTCGTTTGAGGCTCAATCAGAGTACCACTTTTCTAACTCACTTCTTTTCCTCTTCCAGTCACCAACTGTAACTCGCCCCACACCGAGTTCGGATGCAATTTTTAGCATGGACTCGCCTTTGTCTAGTCTCTTTAAGGCTTCAAGTTTTTGTTCAATGGAAAGAACCACTTTTTTTTCTCTTTTTACTTGCCATGTTCTTCAAACAATAAAATTATACAGTAAGGGGAACATGCAATTGGAAAAATGAAACATAATCACAGCCCAAACATAAATCACTAGCGCAGAGGAACAAACAAAGCTACGGCCATGGCAGTACGTGATGTATGGGTACATAAATAGCACGTCGAATGACTATGTCGGATAAAGCAGAATGTCGGATAAGCGAAGGTTGGATAATCAGGACTCTGTATATAAATCCGCTTTTGTGTTTGTTACAGCCAGTACTGGGTAATCTAACTAGAGACTGGTAGAGATGTGATGTTCAGATACAGATTCATGTAAGCTATCTTTGGGGTTTTAGGTTTAAGTTAAACCTGGACTAGAGTTCAGGTCTGGATTTCAAATGATAAAAAATTCACAGAAATGAGTGCTGTAATGAGGTTTCAGTGATATAGGGGTACATCCAAGCCTCATCCAGCTATTAGATCCCCTCTAGTTTTAGAGTCAAACCAGAACAATTAATTTAAATGTGAAGCCCCAAGGAAATTTTATACAGGGGGCATGAGCGAAAAGAATGTTTAAATGTGAGTTCCTGGCTTAGGCCCAGCTCCAAAATCAGGATGATGCTATGTGAACAAGGAATTTTAAATAGGTGCCTTGGTTACCCCTTGTCCCCCCATCAAAGGGTTCTTCGTCAATATCCTATTGGAGCCCAAAGATATCCAGATAGAATATTTTAGGATAAATATCTTGATATTCATAAGACTTTGTGATTCTGCATGATTGAAAAATGAGCATTTGTATCACAGATGTTGCCATTATTGTACAGATGCAAATTGTTTTGTGTAAAGTGTGTCATGTAAGGTATCAACGGAAAAGATGTAATTTGCTAAATAAGATTATCCTGTTTAAAACCACGTATCACCACTATATCTGAAGTTATAACTATTGGCTGAGTATCTGTATCTAAAATGTGTTTGCTCTGGGATAACACCCATAGGGGAAGCTTCAAAGGGTAGCCGAGTTTGTTGTTTTTGCACTTTATAGACTAACAAAACATATAGATGGTATCATGAGCTTTTGTGAGCACAGCCTACTTCTTCAGATAACCGGAGTTTTGAGTTTAGGATGTGCAGACCCAAAACTGCACATCCTAAACTCAAAACTCCGGTTATCTGAAGAAGTAGGCTGTGCTCACAAAAGCTCATGATACCATCTATATGTTTTGTTAGTCTATAAAGTGCTACTAGACCATTTCTTGTTTTTACCCACAGGGCAGTTTACCTCAGTCTAGTTAGCTCATTATAAATGTATTATTGAAGCTTAACGGCCCAGTAAGGATGTTTCACTCTAACAATGGGCTCTACAAGAAATGCATCCTGCCCAGTAAGCTTTCTTGTGGCTGCCTCAGCATGGATACGGGCAATGACTGTTTCTGAGTCAAAGGACAAGTGATATGCTCATACGCTACTGATTCCATCATAAGATTTGTCTACACTACATTAAGGATGTTGGTGGTGCTAGCTCTTACTGTTTAGGAGCAGTTCTTAAATGGACTCACAGACGGATGGACAGACAGACAGGTGGACATTGATAAAATATAGAGTAAAAAAATAATGATAATCCCACTTAACATTTCCAGCCAGCATTCCCTCTAAAGACTTCAAATCACTTTACCATAAGAGTGGGTAACACTAATTCAAGAAGTTACTATTACATTCCAAGAAAAGAACTATAGAAGATAAATTTCACTTATTCACTTTTGATTAAATACAATATTTAGAAAGCATATCTGTCCATCTTGCAATTAAAAATTAGACTAAGTTGTTAAATATTATACAGACAAAAAGAGAGAGAAAATATCAGGTATATCTTTCTCAGTGGTGTTTTTTTTAAAAACTGTATCTCTGTACAATTAGGCAAAGATTATCTGTAGTGCCTGTTTAAAGTCCAGTCATGCTCACGCCATATTTAAGTACCTAGTCTATGTGTCCCTAGCAGTTCCTGCAACCCACAAAACAGTCAATATTAAATATAGTAAAGATGCATTCATGCTGATAGTATTTTGGAAGGTCAAACTAGAAGTCAAGACAATTGCTATCTGAGGCAATGTTCTCTTACCACAAGTACAAATGCATGTACACATTGTACACAGAAGTGCATATGCACATGGCATCATTTCTATTAAACAGAAATGGAAGCAAGTCAGTGGAAAGGAAAAGAAGGGAGAGTCCAAATTTGACAGACCATGTGTTGCAGCTGGCTTTTTCAGATACAATCTGTTTTAAAGACTGCAGATTTTGGCAGCAGAAATTGCTTAAAGTGCCCTCAGGAACATAAGATTTGCCATATCAGGTCAATGCATTTATCTATTTAGTCCAATATCCTGCCCACACCTGAGGCTTCAGAGAAAGATGAAAAAGAATCCCTAATGCATTCAGCTATCTGTGGAATGCTGCACATGGGGAAGGGAAATCTATTCCTGATTACCATATGCAATCAATTTAGGCCCTGAAGCATATACAGTAATTTGATTACTTGTAGAATCTTAGCTGGAATAGCTACAAATACTATTAGTGGTCATAAAATTATCCAGCCACAGGTTTGGTTTGATGACCTTTTGTGTTAGTGATATCTATAGCTTCACTAGTGATGTAAAGTTCCATTTCATTTTTGTAAATATGATGCGCGTTCATTTCATTTTACGATCACATAGAAAGGAGAGTCTGATCAATTTTACTATATCTTTTCACAATCACAGTTAACACCTCTCTGATCCTAATTCTTT